TAGAAAATTTGACATCTTTTAGATAATCAGCAAAGGGGAATTAATTTCAAAGGTGGCAAAATGTTTTACACTGATGTTCCAGCAATGAACCCTCATAGCACGGGTTGTCATGGAGCGTGAACATTAAATACAGCAGGGTTCCATGGGACAATCTGGAAAGCATAGGGTTAAATCTATGAAATGAGAATTTTTTTTTTATAAATCAGCCAGAGCTGTTCCTAAGTCATTTGGGAAGAGATTAATATCCTTTGAATATGTTTTTTGCTCCAGTTAGGAGCAAATTTTTTCTTTACTTATAAAAAGGGCCCAGAGTTGCCACCACATCTTAGAAAATTTGACATCTTTTAGATAATCAGCAAAGGGGAATTAATTTCAAAGGTGGCAAAATGTTTTACACTGATGTTCCAGCAATGAACCCTCATAGCACGGGTTGTCATGGAGCGTGAACATTAAATACAGCAGGGTTCCATGGGACAATCTGGAAAGCATAGGGTTAAATCTATGAAATGAGTTTTTTTTTTTGTAAATTCCCCAGAGGCTATAATATTGGACATGTGTGTCCCGATGTCAAATACAAGGTTGTATGTAAATACTGTATGTCAGTGGTCTTGGGAGTCCTCGAGAGAGACGTGATTAGGGTTTGATGGTATCAGGAGGTGCTTTGTCAGAAGCAGCAGAGAACAGAGCTGACATTCTTGCTCTGCCAGGCCATATGATGATGGGGCTGCCCTGGGACTCTGCACTGAGTCCCCCAACACAGAAAAGACCACCAGGTGCGAAGCACACTCCAGTGCCATGTTCTTGGGCTTCCAGAGCCATCAGCTAAACTTCTTTTCTTAACAAGTTACCCAGTTTGTGGTGCTCAGCAATAGCAACAACATACAGACTAAGGCATAGCTCTTTCCCAAACTGTTTTCCCGAGAACACGGCTACATAAGATGTTTCTTGGATAAAGAATTTGGAAAACCTGCCTTGTAACTGATTCAAAAACTTTGCATAATTTGGCAGAAGGTGCTCCTTCCTCAGTGCACCTTGCTAGTGTGCTCCAGGATGATGCCAAAGCCTGTGGTCTGCAGGGCTGTGTGGTGTCTGATGTGCTGGAAATGCCAATGATGCTGCCTTCCATAGCTGCAAAGCAGTCACTTCCTGAATCATGGTTCTGGTCCACAGTGGACAGTGTGAGTCTGAGAATCCTTCTCACAAAACCATCTGTTCCCATATACCCAGTTGCCTAATTCCCGGACTTACTAATGATGAGTCTACTTTTCCATTTTAAATTTGCAGAGACTTGGGAAAATGAGATTTTTTTCCTGGGCCCTTTGGAGAACCTCAACCACCAAAAAAGACATTTGGAAGATGAAACAGTAGAAGCCTTCAAACATAAGCTTGAAGAACAGCAGGTGACCTGCAGGCAAGATCTGATGAGGCACATGTGTCGTCTTCATGAAGTTAGAGGACCCTAGCTGGCTGGCAGAAAACAGATGTAGAAGTGAGTCTCACTTCAGAGACAGGGAGACTGAGAATGTCACAGGGAGAGACAATGGAAAGAGAAGCTGAGAAGATAGCTCAGAGGCAGTGCAACAGGCATGATTGGAAGAGGAGATGGTAGACAGCTTGGTACCACCTGTGTCAGGAACCTGCAGCAGAGGAAATGAGCACTGCCAAGAAACAAAAGACAATCCAAACTCAGCAGTTCCCACAAGCATCCACATCTAGCTCCAACCTCAGAAGCAATATTTACACTGCCCGCGAGCATTACTGGGCTGCAGTGGTAAGTGCCAAGGTGACTTTCTGCCTATGGCCCTGGGAATGTCCAGGTCTGGGGACTTGGGAACGCTATATCCCAGGAAACTCCCCAGAGGCTGGTCACCCTGATTAGCACTAATTCAAAATACACCGTAGCTTGGGGACAACCTACAAGCATCCTCTCCTCATGGTGCCTGAAGTTCTGTACATTTCATTCCTATCTCACAAACCACTTCAGAACTCTCATAACTGACAGTGGCAGCAAGTGCAGTTCTTCCTGCTCAGTAGTCTGTGAGTGAGGCGCAGTACATTAAGACCTAGTCCTGAGTGGATGCAAAGAATGATTCTTCTACATCTACAAAAGGTGAACTTTCTCCCATTTGTTAGTGTACAGGGTGGCCCATTTGAGGGGAAATCAATAAAAAATCTTAAAAGTTTCCATGTTTACAAAGTCTTTATTTTCATTTATGGGCAAATTAATTTGTATAGAAAGGTGCATTTTCTGATAATGCTGCATAAGCAGTGTTGCTAGATGAATATGTAATGTTCAAATGTATTGATATACTTTCCAACCAAACTTTCTAGTTGTGTTTTGAGGTTGAACACTGAGATTGAGTTGCACTCCTTAATCACTTGCTAATTCAGATTTTGCAATGACAGCCTCCACATGTGCTGAGTAATATGGAGAAGCATGGCTAGGTTGACAGCAAGCCACAGAGAGCCCATCACTCATCCCCTGTATCTTAGACCAAGAGAAGATTTAGGCGCAAAGTCTGGCTGTATTCTGCATGCCTACAGCAGCCAGGAGAAAAATAACTCATGGGTGGAAAGAGTGATATTTGCTTCCTGGCCTCAGGCAGGAAGTGCTGCCTCTCCTTTCCAGAAGGAGTAACACTTATATACTTCCTCCTCTGCTATATTCAAGCCTGTGTCACTTAGAAAAGGGAGACATGCCAGGTTGGGGAACAGTCAGAGGCAAAATTCCTACTTCCCGGCCATGTTCTATGCGGGAGATAAAGAGGGGTCAGTGGTGGGTAAGATACATGCACTGCCTAGTTGCAGTTTTAGGGATCCAGATTCCCTCTCTCCTGACCTCCCCAGGGATGGAATACACTGAGCCCCTGAAATCTCCTGCAGACTGTAATCTTCATTTCCTTTCCACTGTCACAGAGCTTTTTTCCAGAGACGGATTTGAGAAAAACAAACAAACAAAAAAACAAGACTCTGGGGGAAATGGCTAGAAGTTTGGAAACTCCTTATCACTCAGAAACCAGCATTTTTGAGAATCTCAGAAAAACACACTCCGATTAACACACTTCTAACTTTCCATGCAAAAGTGATAGTTAATGTCTTTAAGTTAAAATTATGCTCTAAAGCATATTTTAATCAATTATAGGTAGCTCATTTTATAAACAATAAAATTATCCAGTTAAAAACTAGAAAGATGAAAATATAAATCCCACACAGTTTCACCACTCATAAATAGCCAAGTTGTCAATAATAAACGTTCATCAACAGCAGTGAAGACTTCCGTTCTACTGACTGTGTCTTTACAGATTATATAATTACTAGAATGTTGTAGAATATTTAGAGAAAATGGTGAAACAATAAAAACAAAATATAATCACCTAACCCTATCACTCAGATAATTATTTTCAACAATTTGTTTATATTATTTTAGTCAGCACTCTTGAATACACAAACTCTGTCACTTAGTTTTATAAAATTGCAATTATTCTATTCTCTGTAATGAGCTTTTTTGTTATCGACTATTGCACAATTTAGTCTTCTTTGGGAAGTTTGGCAATATGCAAGACTATAATTGGCTTTACGTTTTATTACACTCATATAATAGTCTAAATTGATTCTGAAAATCTTTCCAGAATTAGTAATGCCATAGTGATTTTCAGCCTTGGTGACACTCAAGCAATTCCATTCTTTGGAGCATGTCAGAGGCTGCTCTGGGGTTGGCACCAGCAGACTACAACCAGGAGGCCGAATCAGGAGTGGCTATGAAGCTTGAAACTAGGGAAGGGAATGGACAGGCTGGGGGACAAGGAACCCACGATAGGCCAGGAGAGGGTCCCAGCATCAATGGTGGAAACATAATCTTCAGGGAAACAGAGTAGAACAGAGGATTCTCCCCAACCTGCACTCAAACAAGTTTCTTCAAGCACACTCCCAGTAACTCCTCGTGAGAAGAGGTTCCTGTACTGCTGGGTGGGGCCAGCTCCTAGAATGTCTCCTCAGAGCTGTCTAGAAGAGGGGACAGCATGATCAGATACATATTTTATGAAGAACTCAATGGCAGGAAGGTGGCAAATGCCAGTGCGGAGTGTCGATTATAGGACATAAGTTAGAAGAGTCCTCTGTCGTTGTCTGGCTCTGGGAGAAGCAAAGACTTTGGTTCATCTTGATGACAATTAACTTAGAGCAAGCATCCAGTACACATGGCCTGTGGTTAGCTCTTCGATCTGAGTGACAGTACTGGAGCTGACTGTTTTAATCTGTGCAGGATCTCACCTTGCAGCTCATCTTCCACTCTCTGAGCTCAGTCACTCCAAGTGCACTGGGTGCTTAGAGTGAGTGACATCCTAGAGAACAACTCCTGTCTCCACGAGCCCGCCGTCGCTCCTATTCTTCCTCATGTTGCCTGAGGTGGTAAATCCTCCTGTGTCCACCTTCCCAGGAACACTCAATGGTCTACCAGTCCTCGTTAGAGCAAACAAACAAAGTCCTTCTCAGCACTTTATCCTTGCTCCTTCTGGAGCAGCCAGGGCTCCCTCCTTGTCTCCTCCCCTTCCCCGCTGCATTGGGCTCTCAGGGAGCAGGATCCATTGGGGAACTCCCTCACGGGAGCACAGGCATATCTCCCTAACTCCAGGGGAGAGGCCAGGCCTGTCAGTCCTGCAGTGGATTTCATCACGGACAGTTGCTCTGCACTCTGGAGAGAGACCAGGACAGGTGTATGCTGCAGGGATTGGAGGAGCCTTAACTGGAGAAGCCTGAATAGCACATAGTGTTGGGTGCAGCATCTGAGATGAAAAGGGCAACTTGGCTCTTGCAAGCAGTGATAGCACAGTGGCCTCCACCCTGGCAGTGCTAAGGGTCAGGATGGAAAGGATTGTGTAGGGCAGGCCTAGCTCTCAGAAGTTCTGGCAGCAGGCAGGTGTGGCCAAGTGGCTGTGTACTGTTTCCAGGATGTGTGTGTGTGTGTGCACACCGCACACCCCCACTCCACTGGATATACCTACCCCCTGAGGGCTGCTGTGAGCCATGGTGGCCATGCCAGCAAGGCCAGCATCGCATCCTCCAGCAGCAAGGGGAGATGGATTTCCTGGGCTGCTGTGAACTCTGCTCAGGGTCCTGGGGCTGCCACAGTGCTCATCCAGGCTCTTCTTAGTCCCCTGGCAGTCATCACACAGCATGCTGTAGCTTAGTCCCAGTCTGTGAGAAGGGGAGGACAGAACACGCAGCCTGAGCTGTGAGAACCAACGGGGAATCCATGCCCACACAGGGTCCTTGGGCTCCAAGCCCCAGCAGCCACTTCTGCCTCCTGGGGCAGTGCTGCTGCTGCTGCAACATCACACAGCACTGCTTGTGCCTTAGTCCTTGGAGCTATGGAACAACATGCAGGCTACATCTGGTGGGCAACAGCCCTGCTAGTCAAAAGTGCACCCCCTGTTAGTGCCTGGCAAATGCCCAGCCAGAGCCCCTCTCCCACTGCTGGACCAGCCCTGCCTGCCTCTGCTTCAGGTTCCCTGGCAAGGGCTGCTTTGCCCCAGACTGAGAGAATGAAGAAGGGCAAGGACAAGCCCAGGACCCCTGTCTCAGGTATAGGAGACCCTTCTGTCTCTGGGGGACCCAGGAGGTGCCCAAAGATCTGAGTTCTGGCTGTATCTCCACTGAATCTTTGCCTCAGTGCCCTGGCTGACATCCCTCCAACACTGCATCATCTTCCTCATCCCTGCCAGTGGCTTCTATAGAGCAGAGCCTCTTGAAGAATCCTAGCATGACACAAGATCCAGCTTCCCTTACCACTTCCAGGGCAGCTGCCCCAGGTAGCCAGATGGGAGCCTTATCCAGAGCCTCTGCCCCACCCCTGCCCAGTTCTCTGCCCCAGGCACACTTGGCTGTGTCCCAGGGTCTTCCAGCTGGCTGTGTTCTGCCCACCTGTCGTTTGGGCTCCCTGCTGAAGCTCCACAGCTGAAACCTCCCATGCCAGTGCTGAGCCAGGATGCTGCCTCTGAACTCCTTCAGGCTGGGCCTGAGCCGAGGTCACTGACTGTCGGATCAAAGAACTCTCCCTCCCAGGCCAAACAGGGGTTCATGGAAGCAGGAAACTGCTGAGGATCTGCCGAGAGTCTTCCTAGCTGCTCCGCCCACTGATGAGGAAAGGGCTGGCTGGTCTTTGTCTGAAGCTTGGTGAGGTGGGTAAATCATGCATACAAGTGAGGTGCAGACAGATTTAGGGTTATACATGAGTTGTTTTTCTGAACCCAAAGTGCAGACCAAAGGCAGGTAACGGTAAAATAAAATCAAACTTCACAAATAAATTGAACAAATAAAATAAAACATATAATTTCATAAAACATGATATATATGGATTTATGTGGGTATTAATCAAAAGCTCCATCTCAGCAGCCAATCTCAGTTAAATGGACAGCTTGGTCTGGAAGCCTCTGCAAAGCTTTTGCAAGGTGAACAGAGTGGATGGAAAATACCCAGCGGAGATATTTGCAGAGGGTGGACACTGGAGGAGGAAAGAACCCTGAGTTGGCACTCTTGGCTGCTGCAGGCCCCTCTCCGAGGAGTGGTAGCATCAGAGGCCACACAACGTCAAGGCCATGGGCCAGGATCCAGTTCTGCCAAAGGTGCCAGGGGTCAGGATGGTGTGGTGTTATCCCGAAGCTCCCAGCTCACCTGATATGAAGTCAAAGAACAGTGTGGTTCTGGGGCTTCTTCTGACATGGGCTAACTCCCAGCCCCCCAGCTCCCTGGACCCCAGTGAGTGCCCCATAGTTCCTTAGCACCAAGTGACTACCCAGAGTCAACAGCACCTGGCTCAGCCCAGTGTCCTGGGGCATACCACCCGCTGCCTGCTGATGTGCTCACCAGTCCAGAAACTCCCCAGATCTCAGGCAGTGTTGTTTCTGGTCTCAAGTCCCACTCTCAAGGTTGATGGTCAGGAGGAAACTTCCAACTATCTGAGTCAACCATCTGGAGCCAGCCCGGTCCTGTGGAAGTCTAAAATTTGGGGTTCCCACCCTGAATCACCTCTTTAACAAACACTGGCACAGCTGTCCCCCTCACCTGTGGTCATCAGGGCTCTTTAGGAATGACAACTCCTCTCTCAGGTAATTCCAGGGGCTCTGTGCCAGGACCTAGAATGAAGTCTCTTCCCTGCTCTGTGCACCATCCCTGCAATCTTCCTGCCTTGGCAGGGTGGTCCATGATGGTCAGGGATGGAATGTAGGGGCTTCACCTGAAATATACCTGTCGCCCTGCCTGGGCACCGTCATGTCCTGGGAAGGCCCATAGAAATGGGAACATGATTAAACCAAGGTGTCCTTGTCACTGAATCTCTACCCAGCTTCCTTCCTCTCCTGCCTTGGTCTGTCTATAAGAGCAGCAAGCTCCCAGGCATCCACACACCAGCTTCAGATGAGCCATCCTTGCTACACAACAGGAGTAGGTTGGTGAGTTGAAATAGGGCTTCTTTCTTCATGAACTAGTTGTTGACTTAAAAAGCATGTAGATTATCCACTAATTAAAAGGTCAGCACAGCTGGAGCTGTGCGTGATGTGAAGCAGTCTTTCAGGTTTCTTCCCTTTTCTAGCACAATTGGTAAGGACCCTCCTCCAGTCCAAGGCCCAGGTAAAGCCATGAGAAACATCAGCCAATCAGATCAGGGCAACTGTTTTATTGTGCAGCCCTCAGTATCCTAGTGAGCAAATAGAATAATAATGGGTCCCAGAGTTGCTGGCATAACCCTAAAACCACTCAACAAACACCAGGCAGCATCCTCCTACAGTCATCACTGCTGGGGCCACTCCTGGTCCCCAGGGGCCTCCCTGGAGAGCCCATGGTCTGTGTTGCTCTATAATCACCATGGAGGGATTTGGCTCTGGGCCCGGTGCTGCTCAAGGATGGTGATGCATCACTGTGGCAACAGCTTGCTCCTCACTCCTGTTAAGTGGTCAGCAGCAGCACACTGGGTTGATGACATGGCTCATTTTCTCCAGAACTCTTCAGCCTCACACTTAAAAACCACCCATCTCAGCCAGGTGTCATGGCACATAATCCCAGCATTGTGGGATGTTGAGGCAGGAGAATTGCAAGTTCAAGCCCAACTTGTGCAGCTCAGTGACTTAGAGAGACCCTGAGTCATGATTTCAGAAAGAGGGGGAGACTGGTAATAGCTCAGTGCAAAGGCCCCAGGTTCAATCATCAGTATCAAAAACCAAAATCAAAACCATCACTCATCTCTCTATCAACAATACATAGTCTTCCATTTGATCCATGATGGTTTTAATTTATAATGACATAAGATTCTTCTAAACAGTGACTTTGGCACCTGTGGCATTTCCTTCTGTACTATTGCCTTACTAAAAGCCCTAAGAATGAAGTACGTTCACTTGAAGAGTAAAAATGGAAACAATGGGCAATAACTTTCCTTGGTGACCTCTTCCCACCTAGCAGGAACCTGTCACTGTGCAAAAGCCAATAGTGTCTCTCAGACAAGCAGAGGCATAAGGGTGGCAGGAGAGAAAACAAATATCCATCTCTTAACTGTCTCTGGCACTCCAAGGGACCAGGATGGTGCAGCCCCATCTTGATGACAAAGTTGTAGCCTAAGGTCTCTCCACGGTCATCAGACACCAGCTGGCCCTCAAATTCAGGACAAAGAGGGGAGGGGGAAAGAAGGAGGGAGGGAGAGAGAAAAAGAGGGAGGAGGAGGGAAAGGGACAGAGGAGGGGGTCAGCCCAGGGGTCATGTGAGACAAATCAATGGGCTGGAGGTCCCCAAACCCTGTGCAGTGTGTCTCTGTGAATCTGTGACATGTAGACATGTGTCTTTTCCACTGGGCAGCCAGACACTCAGGTCTGCTACATGCCCCCCACCCTGGTCTGCTCAGCATCCCCTGTGAGGCTCAAGACATGGGAGACAGAAACAGTTCTAGGTGCCTGGTTACGTGTTTCATCCACTTCCTTGGGCTTGGGTTCCTCAGCAGAGTCCCTTTCTCCTTCCTGAGCTCAGCAGGATCATTCAGGTTTCACCCCTCACCTATCAGCTACAATTCTGTTCCAAGTTTTCTGGGTGTCTCATCACTGATCACTGGTTGCATTTTGATCAGATGACATTTCACCCACCCAGGTGGAGAAGAGCTGAAGTCCCTGGAGCCAGTGTTTGGAGAAACCCTTGCCAGAGATCATTTCCTGCTTAGAAACAACTTGCTCCAGCCTGTGCAGTGAACCCCAACTATTACAGTCAGCTCCTCTCCAGGCCAAGGCTCCTCGTGCTGGCATGAACTCTCTTAGCTGAGTTGACAGAACCAAGTGATCAACGGACACATTCTACTCCTGGGACTCCTCTTTTCATCCAAATCTCAATGCCTTAATTGGGGCTGCCTGATTTAGCAAGCAGAAACACCAACGTACCCAGTTACATTTGGTTCAAGCAAATAGCAAAAGAAAGTGATGCTTACACTGTGCCCCTTGCAGTATCTGGGGTACACTGACATTAAACAATCATCTAAAATTTGAAATGTAACTGAACGCCCTGTGCGCTATCTGGTAATGTGTACTGTACTTGTTCTTCATAATACCAAGTGCTCATGTTCCTTCACACTAACCTGGGCCCTACCCCAAAGGAATGGTTTGCTTTCATACCTCCTTCACCTTCCCAGTCACCAGACTGAAAACCATTCCTCACTGGCCCTTCCTTTGCCTCTCATCTGACACTGATACCTGAGTTACCTTTACTCATCTGTAGGCCTAAGAGTGTGAGTTACACAGGGAAGAGCTCATCCTGCTCGACGACTCAATCTCTCTGGCTGGGTGTGGTAAGAAGCAAAAGAGTGTGAGCAGGGAGAGTGGGTGGAGGGACATGCAATGGCATCTGCGGACCAGAAGCAGACAGTCCTCCCCTCCATGCAGGACTCTTCAGGCATGAGCCCTGGGCCAGGCAAATGCACAGCATTTAAGCCTTTCAGGTATACAAAGTTAACTAGCACAATAAGAAAAAAAGACAGGGGATGGCAAGTTTTCCTCCTTGATTTATAATATGTAGCAGCCTGGAATTTACTTCTCATTCACTTGTGTTGAAGTCATTTGCTGTGATCTATTCCCATAGCACACAATTAAGAGTGTTAATATTTAATCAAAGAACTACCTTGTTCTCAAGAAGACAATCTTGAAATATCTTGAAATACTGCGAATGTGAAACAGAAATGGTTCTCATAGATTTGTTTTACTTTCGTGGGGAAGATGTCACCTCAGGAACATTCCAGTGTGGCTCCTAATGCTGCATACTCTATTTTCTGGTATAGGTGAGAGCAGAACTGTCAGATGCCAACAGTCACTATGCCACCAACTCTAACCTCAAGTGGACCACTTAGGGCAGGCATTCATCAGAATGTCCCACAACATGGACAGCATAGGCACAGAATATGCTGCTAAGGTCAAGAAAAACCCAAGATCCTCATTATCAAGGGTCTGTGAAAACATGGGAGGGCAGCTTTATCAGCAAGCAACGGGGCTGCCATGGCTGCATCTGGGCAGAACCTTGTTATGGTATTTTTTCCCCAAAAAATTTAAAAATCAAAACCTTCATGGCTCAGGTATTAGCATTTATCTTGGTTCCTTAAGGAAGCAGAGATGTGCTAATAACAGAACAGAGCAGCATTTGAGAGAGCAGAATCTGAGGACCCAAACCAGCGCGACAGTCCTAAATCCAGGGCAACACCAGGCCCTGACAGACAGGAAGACTTGATAGAAAAAGTACTCCCTCTGCTGTCCTGGAGACACAATCATCCCACTGCACACATTATTAAAACAATAGTGCTATCCCATTCATACCTTGTTGGCAATTCTCCTTTCACAATGAGACCTGATTGCTTAAGGACTGAGGATTCTGGGATAGACAATGAGGGGTCACTCAAGTCTCTTTCTAAGGCTGTGACAAAGAAGAGATGGGCAGCTGACAAGATCTGTGCAGATCAAGAGGGCATCATGGGTTTCCCTGCATTTCTCTGCCCACTCAAACACTGTGCCTAAGCCTACATCATCTCAGAAAATATATACTCCCTGGGGGTGCCAGGCCTTGGCTGATTCGAAAGTCAGGCTCGATGCTGAACAGTCCTGGCCATCAGAAACCTCTCAGAACTGACCACCTGTTGCACATCTGCATGGAGCCCATT